GGGTATCGGGTTCGCTCCTGGTGTTGACCAAAAAAGTTCCTCGGAATTTTTTGGTGCGGTTTCTCCTTGACAGTGGTGTAAGGAAAGTGTCTAGTCGTTCAGATTATACGAAAAACCGAGGTCCCGTGTACATATTGGCGTGCACGTAAAAGATCCCTAGACAGTTGAAATTTGTATGACGCAAGCCCGTCTTCATTAGTCTGGTCGGTACAGACATGTAAGCCGTTAAACCCCATTTCGTTTAAATTCTTTTGAGATCGCGTTTTGACCGATTGACTAAACTGAAAAATGTATGCCGCTAATTTTAATATTGTTTTCAGTGAATTCGCAGAATAGTGTCATGGGTAACCTTAACTAGTCCGTGTTTGGATGTTCCTTAGCTAGATGAGTTTAAATTTATTTTAAATGAGATATTTGTAAACATAACACGCTCAGTGGTTTCGTGTAGCAACTTGATTCGTTCATTCTGGTAGTAATGTTTGCGAGGTTAAACAGTGTAACCCAGTTTACATCCTGCTTGTCAAGAAACTGGGGATTTTTTTTATCATAATCTGATATTTTATGAAATGAAATGAAATGAAATGCGGTTTAACGTCCTACAGGTTTGCTCCTAAACTGGGCTAATGAAGACGGGAAACTTAGACATGATTTCTAAGGGCAAAGACACGCGAGACGTGGACGTCTTCACACACATTTATGTGTTATCTATATGTTTTATATTACTTGTATATCTCGTCGCCCTTTATATTTATTTTATAAAAAACTATGGAGCTGCGGTGGCCCAATGGCACTGGTGTTACTAGAGAAAGTTTCTCGGGATTTACCAGCCTGCAGGGCACGCTTAGTCATTGGCGTGCACGTAAAGAGTCCTGAACAGTTGAAATTCGATGAAATCACCAATTTTGTGTGTGAGAAAGGAAATCAGTGGACTCGAAGTAAACCTTCTGGGTTGTGCAGATTAATCTACCCTTTATTACGTAGGCCTTCAGGTCTACAAGTACAACCAGTTTCAGTAATCTTATACAAGTACAACCAGTCTCAGATATCTTATACAAGTACAACCAGTCATTCATATCTTGTACAAGTACAACCAGTCTCAGATATCGTATACATGTGCAACCAGTCTCAGATATCCTAACTACTAAAATACGAGGAGGTATGAAATGCCTTTTAAAGAGTAAACATACCCAGCCGGCAACTTATAGTGACTATACTAAATAATGAATAAATGAAATTTAATGTTTTTATTTGGTTTATAATTAACTACAATATACCCTATTATGACGTATGAAATATATTTATAACAAATTGGACATGATTTGATTTATACGGATTGACAAAAATATTTCTATTGTATTTTCAATGTAAGCTATAGACATGGTGTTTACTAAATGTAAAAATATATAATGAACACAAATAAAGTGTCTATTATATCGTCGACCCACTTACTGAGTCACATTTCGATATGAATACAATTACGATCTTATTGTCCCTTTGAGATTGACTTACTTCATACCAACGTTAAACATGTATATAAAATACATCTAAATATGTTAATCCAATCTCTTACCTTAATCCATGACAAAGATAAACACCCAAACAGCAATACATCGATCTACACGGTATACAACATATTAGACGGTATATTAACACAGTCTATTAACTCAACGCTATTTAACTTCCTGTTTAGGCTATATAATCTAATACCCGTCCTTATTATCACCTGGCGTGGCTATACCATATTAAAGAAATATTCAGCCATATCTATTACCTACAGTCGACCTCAAATTTGTTTTTGTAAAGTTGTGAACTATCAGTGCTATAGTAATTCAGTGATTTTACTTTTACCCATTTCAGGAAAATATTTTAAACTTTAAATAAAAATTCAAATCTTAAATTTGGCAAAAAAAATTAATGATATAACATGTTAATATTGACTCGGTTCCCAAATTGTGAGTGGCCCCCCGGATGACTCCCCACCCCACCCTCCCGACAAACAAACGAAGTTAGAATGGCGATTCTGCTCATTGTCAGTGTTGGATCGAAACCATGATACTGTACTCAATGAGCCACCCAACCGCGTTATTAACAGAAATGAACAAGAAAAAAATATAAATAAATACGTAAATAAATAAATAATAATGTGAACATTTGTATAGGGCTATCCCACTCTGTCTGTGTGTACGTTGCACATGAAAACATAGAGTTGAATCAGATATTTCTTCAGTGACGATTTGAAAACTGGAAGAAATGTAACACTATTGTATTAGTAATAACGGAATATCAGTTTCGTAAATATATGATTTATTTAAATCGGGAACAGAATATAAAACAGCTACATAAATTAAACAGGAACTAAACGACATCAGATACGTCTTCAGTGACGATTTTAGTTCGTGAAACAATCTTGCCGATGAATAATAGACTATTACAGTTGTCTCGGTGAGAAAGAATAAGACGTCGTACCAGAGATGCTGTAGCATCTATTCTTATAAAATGACGCACTGAACCAATGTTCCGAACGTGGTAATAATAATGCATTCAATAGGTGAAGGATATTAGACAGAAGAATATGTTTATTTGAATCAAATATCTTTGAATTACCTGCTAGAGAATTGTATTGTCAATATATCGACAATGTGTTAACATTTGTTTACTTCTTTCTGTTTCGTTTAAATACGAACTAGCTCGTTAGAATATTCAACGAAATGAAAACATACTTGACATAATAAGATAACACGCCACTCACGTTCGATTTGGTTCACTTATGTGTGCAGCAATGTGTAACAGTTGACATGTGTAGGTTTTATTATACATGGAATAGTATAATTTAAACATATACATGACATGGTTAAGGCCGTGTAGTGTAGTATCATAGTGTACCTGTGTTATATAATTGTGTACCTGTGTATTACAAATTTTAACGTCCAATACAATACACATTATAGGTGGATTCAGTTAAGATCATTTACGCTTGACGAAGTAATAAAATGGGGTAAAAACATAAAAGAGTTCTTGAGTAAAATAGCCAATTTTAAAAGCCCGGTGTTAAAATTCGTCCAGGGCACCGGCATTGTTAAATAGAAAACATTAAGAAGACAATTTTATTTGCTAAAAATCTGGACTCACATTAAATAATAGATATATTTTTTTAATCACTACACGTGCAGGTTATAATTTGCTATACCACATATAATCACTTTTATGCACTACAGGCAAGTGTTATATCATATGTTATACCAGAGATATGATGTTTAATAACCACTACATCTTATGTATGATATGCTACACCAGAGATATGTAATACATAATTATAACAAAATATTACAATTACTAACAGAAATAATACAAAATATTACAATCCATAACAGAATTAATACAAAAAGCTACAATGTGTAACAAAATCAATACCAAAAATTACAATGTATAACAGAATTAATACAAAAAGTTACAATGTTAACATAATGAATACAATTATAATATAATGTTTAAATGTCATTCAGTAACTGGATAGAATAAAAAAAAAAAAACCAAAAAAAAAACCACAATATATTTATGGAAAAAGCTAATAGTGTACTTGCCTCATATATGTATTACTGTATTAGCTTGATAACGTTGAGAGAATAATCTTCAAAACTTCGTCTTAAATACACAAGTAGCTGTTTTGCATAAGTATATATTCTATTTGTAATGTACAATATGATAATACAAAATATTAAAATTTATGAAAAAAGTAATACAAACGGTATAATACCATCAATCTATAAATAGAGCCTCAAATATTGACACGGAAGTCGTCTAAAAATAGAATACTGGAAATTCGCGTGTGACGCATCCAATAATAAGTCGTATTTCTAAACTATGGAAGACCAATCAGCTCTTAATTCAGTTTTTTTTAATTTATAGTTTTTAATTCACAGTTCTTAATTCTAAATTCTTCATTTGTTGTCGTATTTCGACATTTGTATACTAAACGTAAAATTCATATATCAGATTTGTTAATTGTATTTTTGTTTAATTTAATTGTATTTTAATATAAAGATAAGGTTTATGTTAGAAAATAAAAAAAAACCCCTACTTTTAGATTTCATTATAGACATACAACGAAAAACAAATCTCCAAATACCAATCTTGCAAAACTTTTCCCCCAAAACATTTCTGCAATAACATCGAACCGCAACATTAAGACAATAGAGGACGCTAGAGCTGAGCCGAAATCAACCAGGCATACAATAAGTCACCATACAATAATGGGGAATCGCTCGATGACCGTGATTGTAGTGAAATGAGGTGCGTGGTATGGCTAATCTATAGAGTTGTGTCGTTATATGTCTAACTGTATGGGTTAATCCGATCTAGCATAAATTGAACGTAGTCTATTTTTAATATTGGGTTAAAGATACAAATGTTAAATTTAGTCCACAAATGTCGAAATACGACAACAAATGAAGACACAAGATTTAGGGACTTTCAATTAAGAATTAAGAAAACTGAATAAAGAGTTTCCATACAAAACCGCATTAACCAATCACAGAATTATCATAAAATGAAGTTAGCAAACAAGATAAAATAATTATTGATGACTGTAAGAACTATATTTAGACCATTGTGACACATAATTTTTATTAATTTTTATTAATTATTGGGTCGGGTAATTATAGTCTCCGAATGTGGTTGCTATAACGATAAATCAACCCTCAAATATAATGTTTTACTTTAATAATCCACCAAAGTGTATAATGTCAGGTTGAATTCACTGAAAGACATGCGTATTGTGAGTCATCTTGTATCAGCCCTTATTAACAGTCTAGCAGAGACATGACGTCTAAATTTATCACCTTTAGCGCACGCACAGGGGTCCTGTGGGAGGAAACCGGAGTACCAAAAGTAAACCAAAGAGGTTGAGAAGGCGTCCCTATCTCCAAGCCACATACGCTCAGAGATCTAAATCACGACCGGAAGCTAGAGCACGTAGTAGTAACTGTATCCAAGGTCTATAATCATGTTCAATAGATATGCTAATTTATTATTTAATAGGTATATTAAGTACAACAATAATTTACTGTTCTACATACTAGTAATTATGTACCAAGTCATATATTTATGTTTTGTACCCACTGATTGATTTATTTATATTATATTATTTATGTTTAGCCAATGAATAATTCCCTTCTTGTTTATCAACGGTATGGTCGCCCTCAATGTGATTGTATGTACCATCAGCCATGGCTGGATGTCCATGACTATCACCAATATGGTTGTATGTCCCATCAGCCACGACTGAATGTTTATGGCTATCCCCAATATGGTTGTATGTACCATCAGCCACGACTGGGTGCCCATTGCTATCACTAATGTGGTTGTATGTACCGTCAGCCACAACTGGATGTCCATGACTCCCCCCTATATGGTTGTAAGTACCATCAGCAACAACTGGGTGTCCATGACTACCACCAATATGATTGTATGTGACGTCCGTTATCCCTTGACGTCCGAGATTACCACCAATATGATGGTAGCCACCACTATCCAGACCAGTTTTATTATGTTCACCAATATGATTGTAGGCATCATCAGTAACGGTGTTTGATTGGTTATCTCCAATATGGTGGTAGTTATCCTCGTCAGTTGTCTGTCCAACATAATTATAATGATCACTTGAAGGGCACGTGGTATTATCCAACTCGTTATCTGAATAATGAGGGGTTTTGTTTCTAGGTAAGGCCGAGTCAGTTTGATGTCGTTGATTTGGAACATTTCTACTAACATGGACAGCTGTAGTTGGTGACTTATCTGTTTGGTCTCTTCTAAAATAAGAATGAATATATATAAATCGTCAAGTCTATCTGACAGACTGATAATGGTTGGGGAATTCTCACTATAAAAATGATCTCATAGGATTTTAAATGAGTACTAGTCTTCATGATCGAGCGGATGCAGATCAATATAAAATTACATGGAATGTAAAACAGATCCTTTATATGTATATTAACCATCGATTATATTCCAAATAGACTGTCTTTGTGTTTTATAGCACACACTAGCCAATTGAGAAGGGGCTTAACGCTCCTTCACAGGATCCGAACACATTCAATCGTGGTATTTTGTTTTATAAATTCCACACAACAAACCTACCTTTTATAAAAGAATATGACAGCACCGACTATAGCAATAACTAATATAACACCAACTATTCCACCAACAATACCCCCAACATTAGTATCCTCTAAATCTATATAAAAAATATACAATACATAACAATACCTCCTACATCTGTATCTAAATATAATAATATACAATACATATATAACATACAATGCCTGTTTGGAGCTCGCTTGATCATCCCTCATATTGGAAATTAAAAACATGAATTTGAATTCATTGTTGATAAATCTCTGTCACTATCAAAATTGTTACTCTGCCGAGAAAATATGGGATCCTTATATCCAATGTTTAAAACACAATGAACTGAACATTATAAAATAGTACAAGACGTCGTGTAATCTGATTTCTTCGAGCGCCATTTGTAATAAGAAAAGAAGACAATCCGATTAAAGACAATCTATATTTCTTGTCGTTTCGATGGCCTACCCTACAAGAAGATCTGACCGGTTGTAGTGAGAGGTCGCATCAGAGGTCATACGAGCGGCTTTTGACCCTCTGACGGCAGACATTGATTAATTGGCGTTTCTAGTTGTTTACCCACAGTTCCATGACCAGTACGCCAAGAACTCGCCGTAACTGCAAACATAGCCATTAAAATTATTGATAAAAAAACAATATTACTGTTGATCTTTTGGTTTAATACTGTGCACGTGTAAGACTAGATGAAGCTGTAGCTTGATTAAAGTTAGAAAGAATACCTACCCAACGATGTTGTTGTTGTTGTAGTTGATAGAGTGTCTGTAATATAAAGTTTTAAGGATGATAGTTACTGATAAGGTATAATATATTCCTTTCAAAAACATTTCATTTAACAACAACGAAGGGAAATACGAGTACAGTCTTTTCGCTGAAATCAAAGATAATCACCTGAATACAAAAAACTAATACCGAACAGAGTCAGGGTTGCGTATCACACAGTCCCCAAATAATTCTCCAATATAGGTTTATTAATGTAGGCTAAATATCGTCCCGGGAACCTCCCCCCCCCCTGGATTTATAACAGTTATATGATTGGCATTTGATTTGTTTGAACGTTTATATTACATATTGTTTAGTTACGTTTGGGTGCAAATTAGTTATGGGTATATGAAAATTCAGTTTATACAGTTATTAATATATCTTAAGATTATCGCATTGATTACAATTTAATGCTGTATCTAATTCTGGCACATGATTTACATTGCGAAAATGAGAGAAATTACAGACATACATATTATATATTTAATTATTTTACATCATTTTATACTGACCTATTTTATTCAGACCTACAATAAAAATACAAAGGGTTTTTTTTAAATATTTTTATCTTTAGAGCTATTACAATGTTAATAAAATGATTTAAAAATAACATTAGTTAATTTCTGTAAATCAAACTATTACTGTTTGAAACTTTTTTGTATACTGGCATTAAACATCCGTATATTATTGACAAGGTTATTTCATGATATCTTTTTGTTGTTATGCCAGCGTCAATTTCCATTACTCTGTCGAAATCGTAACGGAATTACGTTCACCTGAATTAAAGAGGTGTATTAAGTTATAAAATAATTGATGTGGTTGAACTTCCTGTTGTAGAAGTTGATGAATCTATAAATAAAGATAGATATGTCAAGTGAGGTTTTAATTCATTTCATGCAAGCACAAGATCCACAATGTCTCAACAAATATAACTAATACAACAGCCTTGTAACACTAGTACTCATTTAAAATCCTATGAGATCATTTTTATAGTGAGAATTCCCCAACCATTATCAGTCTGTCAGATAGACTTGACGATTTATATATATTCATTCTTATTTTAGAAGAGACCAAACAGATAAGTCACCAACTACAGCTATCCATGTTAGTAGAAATGTTCCAAATCAACGACATCAAACTGACCCGGCCTTACCTAGAAACATAACCCCTCATTATTCATATATCGAGTTGGATAATACCACGCGCCCTTCAAGTGATCATTATAATTATGTTGGACAGACAACTGACGAGGATAACTACTACCATATTGGAGATAACCAATCAAACACCGTTACTGATGATGCCTACAATCATATTGGTGAACATAATAAAACTGGTCTGGATAGTGGTGGCTACCATCATATTGGTGGTAATCTCGGACATCAAGGGATAACGGACGTCACATACAATCATATTGGTGGTAGTCATGGACACCCAGTTGTTGCTGATGGTACTTACAACCATATAGGGGGGAGTCATGGACATCCAGTTGTGGCTGACGGTACATACAACCATATTAGTGATAGCAATGGGCACCCAGTCGTGGCTGATGGTACATACAACCATATTGGGGATAGCCATAAACATTCAGTCGTGGCTGATGGGACATACAACCATATTGGTGATAGTCATGGACATCCAGCCATGGCTGATGGTACATACAATCACATTGAGGGCGACCATACCGTTGATAAACAAGAAGGGAATTATTCATTGGCTAAACATAAATAATATAATATAAATATATCAATCAGTGGGTACAAAACATAAATATATGACTGGGTACATAATTACTAGTATGTAGAACAGTAAATTATTGTTGTACTTAATATACCTATTAAATAATAAATTAGCATATCTATTGAACATGATTATAGACCTTGGATACAGTTACTACTACGTGCTCTAGCTTCCGGTCGTGATTTAGATCTCTGAGCGTATGTGGCTTGGAGATAGGGATGCCTTCGCAACCTCTTTGGTTTACTTTGGGTACTCCGGTTTCCTCCTACAAGACCCCTCTGCGTGCGCTAAAGGTGATAAATTTAGACTTCATGTCTCTGCTAGACTGTAAATCAAACTATTACCGTTTAAAACGTATTTGTATATTATTGGCATCGTTTTTTCATAATATTTTTTGTTCTTATGCCAGCAGTCAAATTCCATTAATCTGCCGAATTGTTAACAGAATTCCGCTTGCCCACCTATATAACATATCAAATCAAAATAACAATCGACATTTTATGTTCGCCTGAATTAAAGCGGTGTGTTAAGTTATACAATAATTACCTGTGGTTGTACTTCCTGTTGTAGAAGTTGATGAATCTATAAATAAAGATAAATATGTCAAGTGAGGGTTTAATTCATTTCATACACCGGATCCATAATGTTTCAACAAATATACAGCTAATACAACAGCATAAAGAAATAATGTTATATACAATATATATATATATATAACTAATATACCATCAATAATAGCTCCTAAATCTGTATCTAAATATAATATTATACAATATATATATAAGTAATATACCATCAACAACACCACCTACATCTGTATCTAAATATAATATTATACAATATATATATAACTAATATACCATCAACAACAACACCTACATCTGTATCTAAATATAATATTATACAATATATATAACTATTATACCATCAACAACACCACCCACATCTGTATCTAAATATTTTAATATACAATATATATATATATATATATATATATATATATATATACCACCAACAATATCTCCTACAACATCTGTATCTAAATATAATAATATACAGTACATATTATACCACCGACAATACCTCCTACATCTGTGTCTAAATATAGTAATATACAATATACACTAACAATATCTCCTACATCTGTATCTATAGAAATATACAATATATGTAGCTATATACAACTAATATACCAACAACAATACCTACTACATTTGTATCTAAATACAATACTATACAATATATATCTAAAAATGAATTAAAAATATAATGCATACTTTGATGAGCTGTTAAAACTTTCAGTTAATTTGTTAAAGAAAATGAAATACAATAGCGTTTCTGTTCTGCTCTGACAAGGATAATGAAGACGGACATACGCCAAGCAGTGTGCTATGAAGGAAATTTTCCCGGACAGTGGCGTTATGGTCTACTCTTATATCGAATCCAAATTGTTGAGGCTTCTTTTAAACGTGTACGCCAATGTGTACACAGTATATTCTAAGGTTCCAAACAAATTATGATCTTACGTTGTCTATACACTAGTTATGAGTACGCATCCACTTTCTAGAACACCTGATACCAATTAGCAGTCTTCATTAGCTTAGTCGGAGCAGAACTTTAGAACGATAATCCCCATTTCATTTCGATAACGATTTTCAAATTTTAATATGCGCCCCTTATTTGAAAAACAATTGTGATTATTTTTCGTACATATTCGTGATATCGTCTTCTACTGACCTGATCCACTGTCGTAGCCTTCAGATGGAGGATCTCCTGAAATATATTATTACATTATGCCATTCTCCAATCTTTACCCTATTGAAATATAAATATCGGCATTCCAAGCGCACAAGAAATGAAATGAATTGGGGTTTAACGCGCTATCGGAGAGAGAGAGAGAGAGAGAGAGATGGGGTTTAACGTCCTCTCAACAAAAACTAGGTCATTTCGGGACTAACACATGGTTCAATTTTATTTCAAAAATTTAATTGCGCGTAGGGGTCTTTGGCAGTGGGAGGAAACCGGAGGACCTGAAGAAAACCCACGAGGTTGGGCAGGCGACCCTATTCCTTGTCACGTACAACCGGGGAATCGAAACTACGCCAGTTGACTTAAATGACAGACCTTATGATACAGCACGCACGGGCTAACCATTCGGCCACCCAAGCCCCCGACGGGCCACAAGGAATGAGACTAACTAAATAGTACAGAATGTCAACCCGTGTTTTGGTCATTATTATCTGATAGTTTGCAGTTCGCTGGCATTGCATGACAAGGTTCGCCATCACCAAAGCGTCCTCACACACGTCGTAATTGATTGATGAATTCAAGGTTTGACGTTCTCACAAAGTCCGGTTCAATTGTTAGTGGTAATAGGGTCCGCAGTTATCGAGTTGATAAAATTATCTTCCTCGAGTTGAAATGACAAATTACCATATATGTTAGTCTCAAACATTGTTAATAAATAAAAACAAGATATAAATGTGACTGTGGTTCGTTTAGTTTAACACTTTGGAAAGAATAGATGAAGGTGAATAGAAGTGACTAAAGCGTAGTAGTAAAATAAGACGACCTACCTAAAGATGTTGTTGTAGTTGATATAGCATCTGTTGCTGTAATATAATGTTATGAAGACGAGAGGTACTGAGTAGGTATAATAAATGACAAGTTTTTATACAGTTAAAATACATAGTCCTTTCAACCAACCTAATATTTACCTTAAGATATATTTCTATTGATTGTTTGTTTTTCACCTCTCGTAGAGATTTTATCTTCAGAATAATCATAACCATATTAAATAATTAGAATTCGAATTTAATTAAACAGTCACATCAAGTCGATATATATTCGAACGACAGTTAATTCAAATGACAGAACTACGGTGTTTACATAGATCTCCGCCTGGAGGTCTAAAAGGTTATATTTGGGGGTTTTCTTGTGCAGCAGATCCAAAATTGTAAGTAACTATTATTAAGAAAGGCAATTATGTTGCATCATGGGTAATGTGCAAATTAATGTTGTTTTTTAAATGATTTGGGTGTAAACTCGGGGACTTTTGTCTTATCTTAGCAGCAGATTTTTTTTTTTTTTTTTTTGGGGGGGGGGTGGGGTGGGCATTTCTGAATGAATGTAGGTAGAATCGCTTCCTATGAAATTAGTTGTGTGTTAAGACCTAAAATGAGCTAGACTGACTGGCATAGTTTTAATTTTATAGCCGCACAATTAGTTTGTAAAAGTGTAAGTCAATACGTTATGACCCTATTATTACC